CTACTAAAATAAAAGCTATAACAGTAGCTAATAATCGAGAAAAGCTATGAAGAGCTACTTAACTACATCACTATTGCATATTGATAGGATTGGGCTATCCTCGGGAAGAGGGCTTGATAAATAATCCACTTCATCAAGGTTGTCTGAGATAGGGCTATGTTGGATAATTCGAGGTTTCCGTTTTTGGAAGTGAAAGGGAAGTTGGTGTTTCTCCCGTACAGTCACGTGATTTCTATTCTCATTAATAATTAAAGTCTGTTGTACCCTGTCAAGTGGGTAGCATCGCAGAGGGTGTGGGTAGGTCATTGACCTTTTCTTTCCCTTTTGCCAAGGACAGAGGTTTTCTTGATGGGTCAACATCCCCTGTCAAGTCATCGATCTTTGTGGTGACAGCCGGCCTGGTGCTTTGATTATTGTGCTCTCTTTCAACGTCCATGGCAATGGCGGTTCCGGTGAGGTTCCAACGATGGGGAAAAAAGGCTTCAGCTCCGGCGGAGCCCTTGTGGTATTGTCTCGGATCCTTGTTGAAAGGCCTGTGATTTCCGATCAGATTTCTAGTGTTGAAAAAAGAATCTATGTGTATAAGTATGTCCTCTTACAGAGTAATGGCTGATGGGATCTCGATGATAGCAAGGATGAAGCCTGTGTCGTTCTTCTTAACTTTAATCTTCAGCTCCATAATATCTCTAAGGTTGGAGGCCGCCTTCAAGATTTCTAGGAAGCCACCACATTTGTCTCCAATGTAGGGGATGGTTGAATCATTCCAGAGGTGGAGGGGGAGGTCTTTGATTATGATCCATCTTCCATATGATGGGACTTTACGGTTGGAGTTAATGTTCTTTGTGCTCCATTTAAGAAAGCGAAGCTTGTATGAGCCTATAGTTTGCCAGTCATCAATAAGGGTGAGAGCAGAAGCTTGTTTGTCATCTTCACATCTGAGAAGGGCTTTATCGGGGTGAATCAGGTTAATGGAGCAGAAGTCACTCACTGTTTCCTGAATGGCCCGAAGGACGGAGTGCTAATCGTCATGGAAAGAGTGGCGCTGAACAATAATCCATCGACTCCAAGCAAAAATTTCGGGGATCAAGGTCGATTTTATGGGCGAATCTATGGTTAAGGTGTCTTGGGGGGATGTCGGCTTCTTGAAGTGGGGGTCTTGTTGTTTGTGCCTTGGGTTGGTATGATCCCTTGGAGGAAGGCAGGATGCCTTTGGTTTGTCTATAGTGGGGTAGTCAAGGAGGAGATTGTAAAACGCCTTCTAACCCTCCTTCCCTATACCAGAGGGTAGCATGAGCTTATTATTCCCTCCATTACTGTCCAGTTTGTTAATCTCAATCCAGTAGCCTCTGTTGCTGCTCAGCTTCTCAATCCATAGGACGTAGTCATCACTAGGGTGTTCTTTAAAGAACTTATGGGTGAGTGGGGAGTCTAGTAGCAGGTTGATGGATGATGAAAGCTAGTAGATGGAAGCCCAAGTAAGAGAAAGGGAATAGGTAGCATCCCTTCCAACTTCCGTTAAGCGGTCGCGACTCCCCCTGTAATGTTAGTCAACCTTTATCATGTTTTCCGCTCTATCTTGGCTTTGCGGGTTGGGTAGTTCCAGTTACTCATCTTGTTTGATAGGAGAGGTGGGTAGGCGGGGATGGTGTTCCATCGTTACCGGCGATGGTGGGGTGGAAGAGGTGGGTGGTGTATGGTTTGGTGGTGTATGGTTTGGTGGTGTATGGTTTGGTGGTTGGGAGAGGGGAGGTGTACGGAGAGAAAGTCATCGTGAGATTATCAGCATGATTTGTTTTTCCTTGTGTCCTTGTACATAATCTAATCAATTTAAATTTTGATATTAAAAAAATTCAAAAAAGAAGATCAAAGTACAAAAGGTACCTTCCAGCATTGAATGGCAATTTTATAGTTTTGATGTGGAGACAAACCTAAAAAGTTCATATACAGATTTGATCAGTCTTATAAGGGAAAGGGCATTATGCATATTAGAAAAAAGTAAATACGACGACAGAAAGAAGCAAAAAATTATGGCACCTGCCCAGAAGGGCTATCCAATGTGTGCCACACAGCACCAGTGTGGCCTTCACTTTCAACTGTAACAGTAACCGAACCAAGAACAGCACTCTTCCAAACTATATCCCAATCATAAATTGTAACATTAATCTGTTAGATAAGTTGAGAAAAAGTTATATTAGTGGCATGTAAATTACAAAGACAGCTTTGAGCTTTGACAGAAGCAATGCACGCTGATTTCATTTAATTAGCTCTATGATGCAGCAGATCCTTAGCATTTCATAAAGTTCCAGAGAGTAGAAAAGATCTAGGGGGTGGCAAAATGGTTGGGCAGGGTCAGTAAGGGGCAATTGGGTCAGATTTGGTATCTTTAAATATAGGAATTGGACAGCCATGACCATGTGTAAGACTACAAATGTGATCTAAACTAGCTCGAGTCTGTCGTTCGAAGGGTCAGGCAAAACCAAGCTTATCGAAACATTGGCGCTTGGTTATAGTTTTTATATTATTAATAGTTAGTTTTAAATAAAAATTCTGAAACATGTATTAAATTATTATAAGTTGATCTGCACGTTTAAATAAATTTATTTGAAATTATAAATAAATTGTATTTTCACATTATTCATTGTATATTTACAAAAGGATATTTATGCACATATATAAACTACACTCAGGGCCTTCATGTCAGGTTTTACCAAAGAGTGCAGAGGGCCTAGGTCAGGCCACCAATTTCAATGGTGGAGTCACCCCATCTGTGAAGCACAGCTACTTTAATTTGGTTAATTAATTTGTGTATGATACTCGTGATGTTTGCCAAACAATTATTAGACACATAAGCTAAAGTGTTCAAAATTTTATTTATTGATATAGTTTTAAAAAATGATCCATATAACTAAAAATATAGGAAAACTAGTAAATTTTGAGAGTGAAATACATATAAATTCATAACCATTATTGACTCTAAATTTCCTTCTTGTTTCATTAAGATGCTAAATCATTTAGAAAATTGATAAGTTGGTTTACATGTACCTTGGACATTTTAATATAAGATATCGTGTTATGAATGCAGCTGATAGCAACCAAAAATTGCAATAAGAAATCAATAGAAAATAGTATTGAAATATGAAAGGAAAATTACAATACCCAAGCACTTCAAGAGGCCTAGACTCTCCCAAAATAAAATACTCCAGTTTTCTGACAACAACTATACTCCAAATCCTGCTTACCCCAAACTCCCTAACTCCCTTCTATTTATAACCTCTCCACCCTAACAAACTTTTCAAGTAATTATAATTATGCCACTACTAGTATCCTCATAAAATTTTCAATACTTACCTATTCATACTCTAACAGTATCATACACACAAAAGAAGCAAATGAAAGTTCACTTCAAAAAACATATACCAATTAAGTACAATCAATTAAAATTCTAAAAGAACTTGAATTCTAATTAAGTTATTTCAAATTAAACTATTCAATTTAAATTTAAATTAAATTAATTGTAATTAGTTTTGGTTAGTTTAATTAAAGAAAAAAAGTGATCGGAAGTTATTCAAATTGATCATGAAAATGCACAAAGGATTTGCCCCTTTTATGTAGTTTTACATTCTTTTAGGTTAGGATTATATATACATACACACGTGTGTAGCTCTATTATATGGAATAATATGGAGTGCTTCTCTCAAACTTCTCTCACTTTCTGCTAGAATATAGATCTCTCAGACGGATCCAACCAAAACATTTCTCCAGATCCTAAGAATGATGATAATATCTCTATATTCTAAATGCAGCAAAGATACCTGTACAGGAAGCTCATCAACGGAAAAATTGAACTCCTCTCCCCACATGGGATTCCGTGAGCCAGGAATCATTGAACTGCACCAAGCAAGAAGTATTTTAGTTCAAGCATTGAAGGACATGGAAGCGATATAAAATGGCACACAATCTTGATAGTAGACAAGTACAAAAGTTTTTATAAAAACCCGATAAGGGCTCCAATTTGGCACAAAAAACGGGAATCCCGAATGCACATCCATCTTATAGAATTTCAATGAGTATGAGAACAAAGTAGAAATGCAGTGTTAAAACATTTGAACTCTGGAAAAGTTTATTCACAAAGTACATTTTGACATGGCAAGCCACCTGGTACACAAGAGGTGAATGAAGCAAAATTAGAAAGCAGGTGGCTAAGAGAACATGTTCTAGGTTCCAAAAAGAAAAAAAAAAAAAAAAAAGGAAAGAAGTAACAGTTGTAAGTAAGGACAAAATAGATCCTTGGAAAATAAAACATACCAAGAAGACAACCATGACTCAGTTATTCAAGAAAATCAAGATGAAGGTTGATCTTCCTAGCTTTAATGGAAGAACGGATGTTGAAAGATTCTTAGATTGCGTGCAAAATTTCTTTGAATATGCTACTACTCCCAAAGAAAATAAGGTAAAGCCAGTGGCTTTTAGACTTCAAAGTGGCACCCTCAGCATGGTGGGAACAACATCAAAACAATTGAAGATTCTATGGTAAACAACCAATCAAGAAATGGCCCAAGATGCTCCGCCCAGTGAAGAAAAGGTTTCTTCCTCTTAACTATCAACAAATTCTTTATAACAAATATCATCAGTGCAAGCAAGGAGGCGTGCCATGATCGATTAAACCAAATAATTCCACTGTTTGGGAGCAAAACACAACCTACCGGAGAGCGAACAGCAACGACTCTAGGTTTGTCAATGGTCTAAGAAATTATATAAAAGAAATTGTAAATCTTCACCCCTTAGTCTACCTTTTGAATGCCATTACCTTAGCTACTAAGTTTGAAACAATAAGATGTTGATAAACCATTGAAGACATACCAAAGAAGGAACAACTAGGAAAGACAACCAAATAACCAAAAGAAATAATCTTCTGAAGCCAACAAAACATTCTTCCAAGGAAGTTCTTCGGTTTCCAATGTACAGAACAAGAAGTATGAAAATCAAGAATCAAGAACGGCAACCAAGAACACAACCAACAATAAAGGTTTGGATGGTTTGAACTCTAAAAGAAATGCTAATAGTGAGAATGTTGTTCTAAAAAAACTAGTCACTACCTTTAATCTTTTTTTTCTTTTGAACGAGATACAAACTTCTCATTGATTAATGAAAAGGAAAAAAATGTTCAAAAGATATAAACTCCCAAAGGGAGTGAAAAAAGAAAAAAGACATGAGGCAAAATTGCTGCCAGATAAAATGACATAAAGACCAAAACAAAAACTTTCGAATAGAGCCTCCCAAAAGCAATGAACCACAAAAAGAAGCTTCAGGAACCTTGAACAACAATAACATTGTCGAGGACATCTTTATCATTTGGAAACAACTCTTTAAACTTTTGAGAATATTTGGCCCGAATAATTCTAATACCTTGAGCAAACTTTCTTTTGCACTCAGCTTGAATCTCCATCTTTCTTATAGAGTGTGCTTCAAAAAAAAAAGCTCTTTTCTTTGCGAATATTGACAAGCTCGAACTTAAGAAAGGATAAATAAGCATCCAATTTTCCTTTTTGAACAAGATACGAACTTTTCATTGATTTAATGAAAAGGAACAGAATTGTTCAAGGATACAAACTCCAAATGGAGTGAATAAAAATAAGACTGAAAGCTGTAAGTAAAAACAACAAAGAGAAAGAGAAGAGTCACAACTAGGGAGTTATAAATGCCTCCCAATTCATACATAACATGCTAGGAGAATAGGAGGAGAATAGATCGGAACGAACGCACCATTGTGAAGCCTTGAACTTAGCTATTGAAAAACAATCCACTGAGGAACGACTTTTGCTTTCGAAGACTCTTTGATTCCTTTTGAACCATAGTTCATAGATGAGAGCTTTAAAACCATGAACCCATAAGAGGTTGGCTTTTGAAGGACCGCGCAAACCGTAAAGAAGCTGAAGAATAACATGGGAAATAGTCAAATCCCAAACCCACGAGATATTGAAGATCAAAAACAGTCTCCTCCAACAATCTGCCGCATAGGTGCAAGCTACAAACACGTCTTTGGGATTCTTCTTCTCTATGACACAATAAACATGTGGACAGCTGCATTAACATATAAGGCATTTTCTTTTGAATTAATGCAACCGTCCATATGTTTATTATGTCACAGAGAAGAAGAATCCCAAAGACGTGTTTATAGCTTGCACCTACGCGGCAGATTGTTGGAGGAGACTGTTTTTGATCTTCAATATCTTGTGGGTTTGGGATTTGACTGTTTCCCATGTTATTGTTCAGCTTCTTTATTGAGAGAGAGATAAGTTTGAGATGAACTTAAGGGAAGAAACGATGTCTTCTTGAGAAAATTACAAGGGAAGATCCATGAAGCCAATGAGGACTCAACAAACTGAAAAGAAAATGCCTCAGTCACTACCTTTAATCTAAAACCCGAAGCTCACCCAAACCCTTATAAAGATATTTGATCCAAATGTTTGAACTATCTACCTCGTTCTGATTTCCATATCTTTGATGGTTTACTTTTTAAAAGTGACACACTTTGTATACCTGACACGTCTCTTCGAGAATCTCTTTTAAAAGAGTTACATTTGTGTGGGTTTTCTAGTCACTTTGGCCGAGATAAAACTTTTGAAGCTCTTTCCTCTCAATTATTTTGGCCTCATATAAAAAAGGATATTGTTAATTTCATTAAACGTTGTTTTATTTGCCGAACTTCTTAAGGGCCTAATCGAAATACGGGTCTTTACACTCCACTCCCAATACCTAATTCTATTTGAGAAGACTTATCAATAGATTTTATTCTTGGTCTTCCTAGAACTCAACGTGGATGTGACTCTGTTTTGGTTGTGTTGGATAGTTTTAGTAAAATGCCACACTTTTTACCTTGTAAAAAGACTTCTGATGCACTCAATGTTGCTCATCTGTTTTTCCATGAGATTGTTGACTTCATGGAATTCCTAAATCCATAGTTTCCAACCATGATGTTAAAATCATGAGTTTTTTTTTCTTTTTTGAAGTCTTTGTGGAAACGTTTTGGTACAAGTTTATTATTTAGCATTACAAGCCATCCACAAAATGACGGCCAAATGGAGGTCACTCATAGAACTCTTGGAAATCTAATTCGTTACTCGAGTGAGGACAAACCTAGGCAATAGAATCTTTCTTTAGCACAAGCAAAATTTTCCTACAACCACATGAGGAATCATTCTAAAGGGAAGTCACCATTTGAAATAGTGTATAGTCGTTCACCTAGAATATGTATTAATCTTACATCTATTCCATCTTCTCTTGATCTTAGTAATAAGGCCAAAACCATAGTGGAACACATTCAAGCCTTGCACAAGGAAGTCAGAAAACATCTAGAAGAAGCTAGCTCTCAATATAAGGAGCATGCTGACAACCATCGCAGAGACAAAGAGTTCAAGATTGGAGGATTGTTGATGGTTCACCTTCGCAAATCAAGATTACCTTCCGGTATGCACAACGAACTTACAAGCTAGAAGATAGGCCCCTTTTCCATTCTGGAACGCTGTGGCAATAAGCTTATCGAGTTGATATTCCCCCAACATGAAGATTAGTTCCACATTTAATGTCGCGATATTTTTCCATATTTTGCTCCACGTGGGTTTTCTTTGGTAAGCTAAACTCATGGACGAGCTTTTTTTAAGTGGGAGCATCAAATGTCAAACATCCTTGCCCTTTCTTTAGAATCTTGGGTGTTATCTAGATCTTGTTTTACCTTATGGTAATTTATTTTAAGTTTACTAGTTTAGCTTTGACCAGCCGGTAACTTGTTACCGTGACTGTTAGTCTTTAAGTATCTAAATTTCCAGCCTTCCTACTTGTATAAAAAGGAGGCTGCTGTCCTTTTAACTTCACTTTTGTCATCTTAATAAAAATGTAATCATTCATCAAAACGTTCTTTATTTATCAAATCAGGCCCAGATGAGAGAACTGCTTTTTTCATCCATCAATCAAGTAGGGCACACATCCCCACTAAACCATCGACCATTCTCATTCTCAAATATTAAAATTCCAGAAAGGGATAAACATGAAAATAACCTGAAGCGCTTTTCTGTACCACAGGTAATGATAGCATAAGGATCAGAAGTGCCATTTAAGTTTGCAGCAATAAGATTCTTGGCAGCCAACAATTCCAACTGAAAAACCAAACGCATCGTCTAAATGAAATTGACAAAAAAGAAGCTGCAAAATTTAATTGAGGCCAAAAGTACAAAATCTGATATGAACATTCGACATATGCAATGCCATTCTTCATCCACAGAATAAGAACATGACAAACCATTCGATGACAAGCATACCTTAATTAGATAAGCAGAATTAGTTGGAAGGTCTCTTAAATGGCCAGAGGGAATCTACAAAATAATTGCAAAACTGCACGTCAAAAGAGTCACATTACATATTACTCCATGAAAAAGCAATGTAGCAATCTATCTAGCATTCTCTACCACAAGCAATATCACATAGCAACACAGCAGCTAAAAGCTTACCTTTTATCAGTTTCACATTACACCAGAAAAGTGGAAACTTTACTTACTAAATAAAAACAGGAACTAGTGTCACTCTTTTAGTAGTAGAATTCATTATAATACCATAGTTTATTGCAATTTTATCAACAGAAAATATCATAGTAAACCCCAAAAATCGCAGAAAAGAACAAACTGCATGCAAACATTTTTCATCACCATTGAGAAATACATCAAATGAAAAACTAGGCTTCGTAAGCAAACAAACTCCCCTGCCCCTCTCCCCGGAGGTCCCAACCCACCTCTTTGCGTGTAGACCCTTTGACTGAACTTGCAAAATCGTATCGAGCACTAGTTAATTAACAAAGGAATGAATTCCCAACAGAGCCACTATAATTGGCCTTTAAAATCCAGTTCGGACACCCGGCTACTAAATGATTAACATCATGAATTGAAATAACCGTATAGGAAAACATAAATTTAAACTTGTTATGCGATCAAGGCGAAGAGGCAACAAAAGCACATTCGACTACCTTGTCCTTAGCGTGAATAGCATCCCCAGAATTGTCAACGGCAGAGCGATCAGCATCGAAGAACCCACTCCGATAGGCGAAAAACCAGTAAGCGAGAATCACAAAGAGGGAAGTGGCGAGAGTGATCTTGATCTCAAACCAGGAGGGGAGGAGGAAATCGAGCGCCATGGCGATCATCATCTGGGGCCTCAATTCAAAGTCGAGCAGAATTGAAGGAGTCATCTGCGTGCTCCAATGGAACAAAACGAAAACGAAAACGAAACGAGCATTTCTTTACACAGCGAACCTTTTCTTTTCTTCTCCCTCTTTTTTTTTTCTTTAATAATTTAATCGAGAGAGAGAGAGATGGTCAAAGTTTGGACCGTTGGAGGAAGACCAAAAGTATTTTGCCAGTTCATGACGAAATTACCCTTACGCAGGCGGCATAATATCAACGGAAATGAAGGGCGTTTTGGGTAGAGAAAATTGATTTTTAGAATATTTTATGATACACGCGTGACACGGGGCCAGAAGAGAGATTGGTAGTTACGAGCTTTTTTATGTGCCAGGTCAGCGGACATCGACAACCCAAACTGTTGTGTTGTGCGGTGACTGGCGAGGGCAAATATGAAATAATAATTACAAATTGCTATTACATATCTATATCTATATTAAAAATAGATGACTTAGGAAAAATATTTTTAGACATTTGTTCCACGTATTGGTATCTAACTCTGATCAATATAAACATAGCAACATAAATCAGCGRTAATTGGCACCTGACCAAAAGGTCATGAACTCGAATCTTCTAAAGGAACGAGTTCAAATCCCTCTACCTATATTGTATTAAAAAGACATTTTTGAACGTTTTTGTTTCTTACTAAATTTACCAGTTTACAAATCATGTCATTAATATATTATTATAATATTAAATTAATTATTAATTATTAATAATAATACTAATAAATGTATAAAATTTAAAATCTCAAAATGCAAAAAAAAAAAAAAAAGTCCAACAACATAAAATTAATTTTTTTTCTTTAATCATAATTCATTCTATAATTTTAAGAGTTTTACCATTTCAAAAATCTTTGTAACTTTTTATCTTCTACTACTATAAAACTAGATTTTCTTCTACCATGTTTTTTTACCCGAGAGAGTTTTACATACTTCTTTACTTTTAGTTCATTCAGAATATCTTTCAAATATTATTCAATCTCGAGAACATCTCAAGATGTTGGTGGAATATTTATCAAGTTACAAGAGATGTACATTCATCAAGTTGGAAAGGATACGCTTGTTGAATTTATATATTTCAAACACTATGCTTGCAACATTACCGTTCCATAGTGAGCACATATACTCTAAAATATGAGTGTATAGTTAGGATTTTTTTTTACTATTATCTTTTTTTTTTTACAACTAGTATATTTTTTATATATAATATTTTTATTTTGAGAAATTGTATTTAGAATATTTGTTTAAAACGTAGATTAGTTACAAGTTCATATTTGTATGGTTGAAAAAAAAATCATATAAGTTAATACTCCAAAAATATTTAATTAATTAAATAGTGTTAAAAAGTTCAACATCTATAATATCTATAATACGTTAAAAAGTGAGGATCTTGAAAAAATATTTTAGGCTATACATTTCTTCAATTTATAAATTCCAGAAACATGTCATATAAAATTAATATTAAATAGTAAATAAATTCATTAATTATCAATAATAAATAATAAATTAATTATCAATTCTAACAATTATGAAATTTAAAAAGTTGGAATACTAAAAATTTGTTATTATTTTTTTAAGTATATTTAATTTAGGAACAATTTAATAATTTTCACTAATAGTAATTAATAATAGAATTTCAAAATTTTAGATCAATAATCTACCATCTATGACAAAGTTTTTTTTTTATATAAATATTTGAAGACTATTGTATCCCTTGTCAAATTTTAAATTTACAAAATACGTCATTAACAATTATAATTATTCATAAGTAGTAAATTAATGAATGAATTAATAACGATAATAAATACATGAGAGGTAAAGATTTTTCCTTTACTTTTAATTAATATTATAATTTTATAAGTTACGAAATTTTATAAGTTATGAAATTTAAAAAGTTTTGTAATTTTTTTTCAACCTCTATTATAAAATGATGTTTTCTTCCCCGATATCTCCACTAACATTTGAACTTCATTATTTTTATTATTAGTCTCTCAATCAATTGCTCTCAAGTCTCTTTAAACTTTAAATTGAAGTAGCTCAAAACATATGTGACATAGCCTTGAAAACTAGAAGAGAGTAGTTTTTCTCTCGATGTCTCTGAGAGCAGTTTTCCTTACCACTGTGTAAGTTCCAAGGGGCTTTCTTGTTGTGGTGCAAGTAAGGGGTAGTGCTGCTGGAGCTTTTCTGGAGGATATTCGGGCTGAGATGAATCTGGACGAGCTATCCCTACAATGGGAAAATATGAAGCTAACTTCAGTGGAAGATTTTAGTTATATGATGGATTCAAAAGCTGAAGATATTTTGGCTTTATGTGTTGTTGGGAAACTCTGTCTTAGTAAATTGATCAACATTGAAGCATTCCGATTAGGGATGAAGAACATTTGGAAAGTTGATAAAAATACGATAATTGATTGCATAGGGGAGAACCTATTCATGATTCAGTTTGGGAGTATGGTGGAAAAGAAGAGAATTCTGAACAATGGGCCTTGGTTTTTTTACAAGGCATTACTGCTCCTAGAGAGTCCAAATGGAGTGTGCCAACCAAAAGATTTGAGTTCTAAATATGCTACATTTTGGATTCATTTGTGTATTCTGCCACTGATGTGTATGACTAAAAAATTTATCTTGGAGATAGGAGAGTTTGCAAGAGTAGGAGAGGCGATCGAGGTTGATCAGAATGCTAGCGGAAAGTATTGGGGAAAGTTTGCAAGAGTGCGAATAAAGATTGATGTAACAGTACCCCTGCACCGTAGAGTGAGAGCTAAGATTGAAGGAAGGTTAGAGCCTTTATGGATTCTCATCCAATATGAAAAATTACCTGATTTTTGCTACTGTTGTGGCAAAATAGGGCATAACAAGAAAGAATGTCATGATTGGCAGGTGGTGGAGGATGACTCTTCTCTTTTCTATGGCCCTTGGCTTCGGGTGGGAGGGGGAAAATACCAAGAACGAAGAGACAAAGCTGATAATAGATGGAAAGAAGAAAGAGAGAGGAGTAGAAATTTTCGGAGAGGCAGAGGGGGGAAGGCACTCTTATGGTAGAGGAGACAATTTCCACACAAATGTGGATGACGAGGAGGAGAATCTTAACCCATCACCGGAGAGGACGACCAGAGAACCCTCAGATTTCGGTCAAGCGGAAATTCAGCACCAACCGTATGTTACAAATAAGGGAGGAGGGGCAGATTTGGTGGATCTTGATCAGGCCATTAATGGCAATTTCAATTCTCCAAGCCCGTTACAAAACAATCATGATATGGAAGGAATTTTTCAAAAGGGAGCAGAAAATATGGGGGACCCGATTGGGATGGATTGTACATTAATTACAGAATTTTATGACTGTACTACCCTTCCAAATAAAGAAGGAAAGGATGAGAATATTAGCATTGGGGGGTGGCCCCTAGTCAAAGCAAGAAGGCAGTGGACTTTACACAGAAAAGATGTTGGAAAAGGTTTGCCACGGGAAAAGGGATTTATCACTGAAACTAATGAGACTATCAATCTGAGTAAGCGTGCTTATGCCCAAGTTAGCCCTTTGGGGAGAGAAGATGATGACGAGCTGAAAAAGAAAACCAAGATAACTTCAGAGGCGACTTATGGCAATGACACAGCGACGACCCCTGATGCTCAGGGGCGTCGAGCGTTATGAAAATCTTAAGCTGGAATGTTCGTGGTCTGGGCAACCCACAAGCATTCCAAACCTTGCACAAATTGGTGCAAGAAATCAAGCCTCAGGTGATCTTTATTATGGAAACTAAGTTATCTGAGTTAAAATGTAAAGAGCGGCAATTAAAGCTTGGCTTCGAAAATGGATTATCTGTTGGTGCTTGGGGGAATAGTGGTGGTTTGTGTCTTTTGTGGAAGGAAGAGATAGATCTGTCCATTCTGTCCTATAATTCATTTCATATAGATAGCATAATAAAGGAGAATGGGGTACAATGGAGACTATTAAGCTTTTATGGGGACCCTGATTCTACAAAAGATGAAGAATTCGTGGGAGCTTATCAGAAGGCTAAATGATAGGACCGACATCCCTTGGATGTTGTGTGGGGATTTTAATGAAATTCTGTTTAACTCAGAAAAGATGGGAGGTCATGAGAAGCCAAACAGGCTATTAAATAATTTTCGCAAGGCTTTGAATGATTGCAAACTGATGGATATGGGTTATTTCAAGAAACCGTACACGTGGATCAAGAAGAGGGAAGATGTGGTGGTAGTTAAGGAGAGGCTTGATAGCTGTGTTTGTAGTTCACAGTTCTATCAGATTTTTCCTCTGTCCAGGGTTAAGCACTTAGATTTCACTTCTTTTGATCATTGCCCTCTTGAGATTGTGGTTCGTAAGAGTTATACTAATCAGAGAAAGCCTCAGGAAAGAAGATTCAGGTTTGAGGAAGTGTGACTTCAACATGAAGAGTTTGAAAATATTGTCAAAGAAGGATGGCGGCCACAGTTGAGTAATGACACCATCGTGGAAGATTTCCAGCGTTGTGTGGCCTTCTGCTCAAAGAGTATAGAGAATTGGGGGCGATCGAAAAAGGAAAATTATGAGGAGAAAATTAGAAAGGCCAAAGCAGAGTATCAGAGAGCTATTGACACGAATAAAGGGGTAGGAGCAGCAAGTAGAATGCTGGAAAATGTGATGGTTGAAGAAGAAATTTATTGGAAACAAAGGGTCTGAGTTGACTGGATGAAATGGGGGGATAAGAATACGGCCTAGTTCCATCTGAAGGCGTCTCAGCGGAGAAAGAAAAATAGAATTGAAGGCATTTTTGACAAAGATGGAGGATAGAGAGAGGAGGAAGCAGATATTACTCAAGTCGTACATGATTATTTTCATAACCTTTTTTCTACCAATGGCCAGAGTGAGGAAGATGATATGAGGGCTTTCTTCCAAAATATTCCAGCCCGAGTTTTTGGACAAATGAACCAGAAACTTTGTGCTCCATACTCTGAGGAGGAGGTACTTCAAGCCTTAAATCAGATGAATCCAACTAAAGCCCCAAGAGTGGATGGTTTACCAGCTTTATTCTTCCAGAAATGTTGGGGGACGATGAAAAATGAAGTATCAAGAGTTTGTTTGCATATCCTAAATCATGGAGGAGAGGTGGGTCATTTAAATCACATAGGGATTGTTCTTATTCCTAAGAAAAAAGGTCTGAAACATGTTGCTGAGTATCGTCCCATTAGCCTCTGTACAGTCATATACAAGATTATCTCCAAAACTATTGCAAACCGTGTGAAGCTAGTCTAGATGACATTATTTCATCTTATCAGAGTGCTTTCGTCCCTGGGCGGAGTATTACTGATAATGCTATGTTGGGATATGAATGTGTGCACAGCTTGAAGTCTAGACGAATAGGGAAGACGGGTTGGATGGCTCTTAAATTGGACATGAGCAAAGCCTATGATTAGGTGGAGTGGAGCTTTATTTGGAAAATTATGCAAGCATTGGGTTTTGACCCATCTTTTTTAAATCTTGTTATGAGATGTATCTCTTCTGTTTCTTATTCTTTTATAATTAATGGAGAGTGTAAAGGGCTCTTGTTTCCCCAACGGGTGTTAAGACAAGGAGACCCAATTTCTCCTTATCTTTTTCTTATATGTGCAGAATGACTCTCTATATGATCCTTTCAGGTCTGGAAGATGGAAAAAAGATCACGGGAATCAAAATAGCACGCGCTAGCCCCCCCCAATTCTCATTTGTTTTTCACCGATGATAGTTTCCATTTTACAAAAGCAAATAAAGATGAAGCATAGGCTATTGCAAAAGCTTTGGATCTGTACTCAAGGCTTTCCGATTAGGAGATTAATTTTAGTAAGTCAGCAGCCTATTTTAGTCCTAACACTAGCCAATCCACTAAACAGTACATTACAAGGGCTTTGGAGATCCAAGAAGTATCGTGTCATGAAAGGTATTTGGGTCTTCCCTCCTCGCTTTCTCATAAGAAGATATCCTCCTTCAGTTTCATAAAGGATCGAATCTGGAAACATTTGCAAAGTTGGAAGGACAAGCTTTTCTCCATTGGGGGCAAGGAAATTCTCTTGAAGGTAGTCATCCAAGCTATTCCATCTTACTCCATGTCTTGTTTCAGGCTCTCTAAGGGAGTTCTACCGGAATGCAATAAATTGATGGCTAGATTCWAGTGGGGAGGAGATGATGAGGAAAAGAAGATACATTGGGCCAAATGGGAAAATATTTGTATCCCAAAAGTTCAGGGGGTCTTGGCTCTAGGGATTTGGAATGTTTTAACCAATCTCCATTAGCAAAGCAAGGGTGGAAGATCATAACAAAACCCAATTCCCTTTTGGAAAAAGTTTTGAAAAGCAAGTACTTCCATCACTCCTCGTTTTTTGAAGCAACAAGTAAAAAGAATGTCTCGTATATGTGGCGGAGCTTAATATGGGAGAAAGAACTATTAACTAAAGGGACGGGATGGCGAGTTGGAAATGGAGAGAGTATCTGGATTGACAGTGATCAATGGATTCCTCTAAATATAGGACTAAATGTTAAACGAAGGGGAGATGTCAATAGTGCATTGTATGTGGCTGAGTTAATTGAAGCAGGAGGTCACTGGAAGGAAGTTTTAATTCGTGATCTGTTTGAAGAAGAGGAAGCGAATAGGATCCTTGATATTCCTTTACCCTGAAGCAACCAATCGGATCAGATTGACTGGAATTTCTCTAAAGATGGTGTTTTCTCAATGAAAAGCGGCTACCATGTAACAAACTCAAGGAAACCGAGACAGGGCCAATCTAAGACAACAAGATCTGAGGGTTGGTGGAAGTGGTTGTGGAGCTCTAGGGTACCCAATAAGATCAAGATTTTTGGGTGGAAAGTTTACAAGAATTTTCTCCCAACTAGGGAAAATTTGCATTGCAAACGTAGAATTCTAATTAATGGAAGGTGCAGAAGATGTGGAGAGGGTAGAGAAGATATTTTCCATGCGTTGTGGATTTGCACACAGAGCAAGTCTCTATGGCGGTTTACCCCTTATTTTTATTTGGATTGGCCGAAATCTAGTTCCAATCTCCCTGACTTGCTATGGTGGGGACAAGATAATCTAGGAAGAGGTGATTTTGATTTGTTTTTTACAATGATGTGGCGATTTGGAGCTCTCGAAATAAGATGGTTATGGGTGGGCAGTCTAATTACAGCCTTCCGGAGGAAGGGGACCTATTATGGGAGTGGGTTCAACGCTATGTGAACCAATTTAACATGTGTTATGCAGAGGAAAAAGAGAAAGGGCAAAGGAGCGTACTTGGGAGGACCCTTCGAATTAGAGAAAATCAATGGAATCCACCAACTGGTTTCCAACTGAAATTAAATTCATATGCAGCTATTAGAACAGAGGGAAGACGAATTGGTATGGGAACAGTAATTAGAGACAAAGAGGATGCTGTGTACATGACCTTTCTGCAGTGTAGGCATGGATCGTTCACTGTTGATGAGGCTGAGGCTTTGGCCATGCGTGACAGTTTGAGCATGACAATCGAGATGGGTTTCACCGAATTGATTAATGAGACCGATTCCGTTATCGTTTTCTCCCTGCTTCACTCAAAGAAGGAAGATCGCTCTCAATTAGGTTTGATTGACCATGAAATCAAAACCCTAGCAAGGAGTTTAAGGGAGGCGTGTTTTACTCACTGCCTTAGAAATGACAATAAGGTGGCGCACACAACGGCGAAGCTAGCAGTGGAAGAGAATGTGGAAGGAGTGTGGAGGGAAGAGACGCCAGCGAGCTTGGAGAGACCCGTGCAAGAAGACGTCTCGCACCTGCTCTTTGATGGGCATTAATTTCATGTTTTGTTACTCCTTTCCTTTTCCTCTATTCCGTTTTATCTTCAAAAAAAAAAGAAAAAAAAAACAACATATGTGACACGTTTAAGTTGCATCAGATTAGTCAAATCTATATCTCAAATCTAGTTTGAGATGATACAATTTAATTTTGATGTTGTTTAACAAAGATYTTTATTTTCTATGGTGGGATAAATTCTACTTCAACAAACTTGTATATACGTAGACTTTTTGTTTTTTGTTTTGTTTTTTTACCTATTATTTTTTCATAAGTTTTTATAATTAATATTATTTTTTTTTAATATTTGTATTTGCTTTGAAATTTATTAACTCAATGTTCCATAAATTCAAATTTTATAATAAATTCAGCATGTTTTTAAAATTATTTTATCTTATTTCCTAATAACAATAATATAAATATATAATTATAAATATTTTTAAAGTAAGTCACCGAGATGAATAATAGACAAAAGTGCTTAATACAAATGAAATATTCCCACTTTTTTAATTATAAGATTCTATTATAATTTTTAATAAATCTTCATAAAATTTTATAATATTATAGTGTTATTTTAATGAAAGTTTAAAAATTATTATTAGTTCTATAATATATCTTTTATTTTTCCATTAATAGATAGGTTAGTGTAAAACATTAATTAATTTTTACAAAAACAAAAAAATTGCATAAAATTAATTTTAATTATGAATAAAATAAAATTGTATAAATTCTATTAATAATAATTAATATATTATTTATATTTAATGTTAAAAATTATTTTAATAATATTCTTTGACCAACATGAGCATAGTAACATAGTTTAACGTAATTGATACCTGACTTTGACCAAGAAGTCATGAACTCGAATCCCTTTAAAGTCATGAGTTCGAATCCCTCTATCTCCACTTGTTGTACTAAAGAATACTTTTGAACACTTTTATCCCTAACTAAATTTATTAGTTTACAAATCATGTCATTAATATATTATTATAAATATTAAATTAATTATTACTTAATAATACTAATAAATATATAAAATTTAAAAGGTTAGAATGCAAAAAGTTTTCCTTCAACATAATTTGTTTTTTCTTTAATTATAATTCATACTATAATTTTAAGAGTTTTAAAAATTTCAAAAGTTTTTGTAACTTTTTATCTTCTACTACTATAATGATAGGTTTTCTTCTACCATGTTTTTTATCGGAGAGAGTTTTACTTACTTCTTTACTTTTAGTTCATTCAAAACATTTTTCAAAGATTATTCAATCTTGAAAACATATCGAGATGTTAGTGACATATTTATCAAGTTGCAAGGATGTACATTCATCAAATTGTAAGGATATGCTTCTTGAACTATATATTTCAAACGCTAGCTTGCATCGTTACCGTTCCATAGTGAGCATATCCACTCTAAAAGATGAGTGCATTGTTAGGATTTTGTTTTTACAATTATCTTTTTATTGTTCTTTTATAACTAGTATATTTTTTATTTATAATGTCTTTATTTTTAAAAATTTTATTTAGAATATTTGTTCAAAAGGTAGATTAGTTACAAATTCATATTTTCATGATTAAAAAAAATCATGTCAATTAATACATCAAATGTTTAATTAATTAAATATTAAATAATTTTATCTCGAGTTAAAAAGTTCAACATCTATAGTATATATAAAAGACAGGATCCGGAGAAACTTTTTTTACCGTTTTTGCCCTTCACTTTTAATACTTCTGAATATGAAGTTTGAGGCAAATTGGTCCTTTTACATATAGATTATTCAATTCATTATAATTATAATTATTTATCAAAAGATTTGATTGATCTAAATGCAGCTATAATTATTTC